GCACGTATGCGCACGTATATAGCACGTATGCGCACGTATATAGCACGTATGCGCACGTATATAGCACGTATGCGCACGTATATAGCACGTATGCGCACGTATACGCACGTACGCGCACGTATATAGCACGTATACGCACGTATGCGCACGTATGCGCACGTATACGCACGTATGCGCACGTATACGCACGTATGCGCACGTATGCGCACGTATGCGCACGTATACGCACGTACGCGCGCGTACGCGCACGTATACGAACGTATGCGCACGTACGCGCACGTATACGCACGTACGCGCACGTACACGCACGTATGCGCACGTATACGAACGTATGCGCACGTATATACACACAATCTACACACGTATATGCGACCGTTTCGTCACCTGTGTCGCTAACTGCACCAGAGTGTCAGTGCCTAGCTCGTGCTGTACGTAGCAAATCTTTGAATTAGGAGTACTGCGCTAGGAGGCATTGGACTATGAAGACTCAACCTCAGCGAGACTTGTCACTCGCGTGTGTATGATTGTCACCTGTATTGCCAACTGCATCAGAGAGTCGGGACTCAGCTTGTGCTTCTTCACGTAAGCCTTGTTGATGTTCGGAAACTCGTAGAGGTGAATGCCGAGCGTGTTCACGAAGTTGTGGAACCTCGCGCGCGCCCCGTCGACGTCCTGCTTCAGAGCGTCGCTCAGAACAAACTCTGCGAACAGAACAGCGGAAGGAAACGATGCAGCGAACAACTCGATGCCGTGAAATCCGATCGACTTACTCTACTTTATAACCTTTAGCTCCTATTACATGGGGGGGGGGGGGGTAATAGCTGGCATGGGTGATTTTAGCTATCATGAGGTGTTGGCTAGCAAGGGAGATGTTAGTTAGTATGGGTGGTGTTATCTAGCATGGAAATTAGCTAGCATGGATGTTAGCTAGTATTGGTGATGTTAGCTAGCATTAGAGGTGTTAGCTAGCATGAGGTGCTAGCCGGGAGATGTTAGCTGGCATCCGGGTGCTAGCTAGCATAGGTGGTGTTATCGAGCATGGGTGGTGTTAGCTAGCATGGGTGGTGTTAGCTAGCATGGGTGGTGTTAGCTAGCATG